TGTCCCATGAATTTTCTTTTCACAACTTTTGCACTAGTCAAGTGCTGCTAATGCTACCCACACCCAAAAGGTAGCTATTGAGAAGTCCACATAACCCGTATTCGGGGCAAGGTAGTTGGAAGGGAAAGGGGAGGGGCGGGAAATTCTCTATCCCTCCCCTGGAAGGACGACTAGAGTCTGTGCCGTGGGAAAGACATGGGGAAGGATGCGGAGGGGTTGGTTGAGTGATTTCCCTCCACCCCCCCCCCCCGCCAGGACTACGTTAGCACTATGTTCTGCAACACTATACCGGGATACCTTCTGAGTTTGCAATCTTCTTCATTAGTAGTGCAATGCACAAAATTCTTTCGGAATACACAGCCAGGTTTCCAAGCACCGAGGTGTCACGCAATGGATTTAGCACATGAGCCGTCATGTCGGCGGCGGATGGTGGGATTGCGGAGTACACAGTGCAAACGGCAGTCTAGCTTTGCACTTGCGCTTTTCCGAGAAGTTCAGCAGCTTGTATTTCAAAATCGTCCATGTCTTTAGTTTGCTTGCCAGGAGAGGATCTCAGCGATCGGATACCAAAGGATAACACGAGAATCGTTGGGTGAGTTTCTCGTCAATAGTTAAAAATTTGAATTCTTTTGGGGTGCTAATGCTAATCAGACTAATATATTTGTTGACTTTGTTGCAAAAGTCTCCTAACAAAATACGTGTTCGTGTTATTCCAGTTATGGCATCGCTCGTGATCCCGATAATGAAAAGTTGATTGCGCGACAACCGGGGATCTTCAGACGTGAAGGGGAGAAATGTTGGATAAGTGTGCATTCCAAAAGGTATCTTTGTCTCCGGTACTTTGAAATTTTTTGAGAGGAAAATATGAACATTCAACAGGTACGTTGCTGAGAAAGGAGATCGAATTATTGGAATTGTAACGGGCTCTGCTGGTGACTATTACAAGCTTGAAATCGGAACGCCCGAGAATGCAACGGTATGTTCATTCATCTGCGAGGGGCTTATTTATTTATACTTATATATTTAACGCTCATCGCAGTAGTGCATAAGAAAAGGCAAAACTAGCAGATATCCCGCTATTATGTGAAATATGAGTGGTGGTCCAGCTATAGATGATATTATACGCCTACTGATATCCCTCAAATAGGACTACATAGAGGGGAGGGAGGGATGGAAGGGAACATTTATTAGTCTCTTAATGAATCCGTGTACTGATGTGGAAGCTTTGAAGTTCTTATCTGTGTGCGCCTGTGTACAAACCTCCGAAGTTCTTTCTTGTACCCTCGTATGAATTTCTCCTTCTCCATAATCATGTGAACTGCCTCTTGCCTGAGTTGCTGTTTTCCACCTCTTTTGCCTTTTACATTTCAACAATCTTTTCATACCAGTCAAAGTTCACTGCTTCAGATATCATTCCTGGCGTTCGAAGGGGCAACAAAACGTAACCGTCCTGATCTGAAAATTGGTGATGTCGTATACGCGCAGGTAAGTTTTTTCTTTAACAGTTATTTGTTCAAAAAATGTCAAGACCTTACTGTGGGACACTGGCAAAATGGGAGAACGGGAGATCAAGGAGAACAGCGGTGCTACAGGGATGTATAAGTATCAATCTAGGAATTCGGCGAATTGGAGAAAGCGTAACGGCGCGAGGAGGGAGAGTGCACCTCAGGAAAGTAGACCAGGCATGATATTTTTTCATATTCTCCCATTCGCCCGATGCTTGGAATCCTTTGGCTTGCGCTTTCCGATTCCCCTGTTCTCATCAGCTGTCACTTCCACAAAGTATGAAAGCGGCTTAAAAGAGAAAACGTTTCTATACGTACCATGAAAGTGTATCCAGATTTTGGCTTATCAAATAGTCCAGAGATTGCTGAACATTTAGTGATCAAGATTAGTGCAGAGATGAGGGTCTTAAAAAACTCTCCTCCTGTTCAGGTGATGGATGAATTCGCTCACGCGGACGTGGAGCTCACATGTGTCGACGCAGTATCAAGAGCACGTGGATTAGGCGTTCTCTCAGGCGGTTTCTTATTCAAGGTAAGTGCCACAATCTTCGCTTTACCGATCACTTAACTTGTCATAAATCTTGTACTAAACTATTATGCTAACAATTACTTTAACCTAACATAGTCAAATGAAACAGATTTCAAACTCTAGAGCAGTACACGATTTACCTAGGTTCAGTAATGAAGTATGTACCCGGTGGGAGATTTGTTTCCTCGATTCTTCATTTTTTGCCAACTCTTTCTCCATTACTCCGGTAAAAGCGTTCATAGTTTGCGTCAGCTTTTTGTGCGGCTAGAAATGTGTGCGCATCGATCCTCCGTCTTGAGTATACGCTAGCTTTTTCAGCGTCTAGGAATGTATGCTACCGCTCTTTTTTGAACGCACTCTGCTCATTTTTTTCATTATTCTCATGATGGAGAAATTAGCTCTTAATAAACTTTTTGTCGTGATGCCTGTCTCAGTGTTCTCGTTCTGCAAGTGCAAAGGAAAAATAGAGATTCTCCGCGGAAAAAATTAAAAACTTCGTTTTATATCGGTACGATCACAGCGGATATCCTGCGAGCATTGTTCCTCTAGAGTAAACAGTTGAAGCCGCAAAAGCTAATCTTCTATGTAACAATTTGCCAAGAGTAGCCAGAGAAGCAACGATATTCCGCCAACTGGCGTTCGAAATAGTCTGACACCTCCCCCTGCTCTTCCACTCCTATTCCAGCGCATCTGCTCCTTCTTAGGGGATAATATGGGTTACTCCTTTTTCTGATCCCTCTGTTGATGTATAAATTTCCCCGTAATACTTTTTTATTGTCCTCATTCATTTTTTTCTCTTTCTATCCTTTACTCTTTTATTCTGTGGAAATAAAAGGGTAATGAAGCGAAGCGGAAGGACAGTGAGAACAAATTTATTCGCGGTGAAGCGAAACTGAAGGTCCTTGAAGGTATGCTATATTGAATACTGTGGGAGCAGCTAACGTCCCAATTGAGTGAACGTTAGGAAAAAACCGCGCAGTTCTGCAACAGGGGGGGGGCATTTTGCACATTCGCTGCTTCCCATTGTCGTGTGAGCCATAAACTATAGAGTGGTGGAATCTTGTGAAGCCATGAAGTGGTGCCAGTCAAAGCCTATAGAAACTACTTGTAAGCTCTTGTAAAAAAATCCGTGCTACTTCTTGTAAAGCTGAGACCCAGTGGAAAGCAGCGGAAGTACAAAACGCCCTCCAAAACGCCCTCCCCCCTCGTCGCCGAGCTGCCCCGAAAAAGTATTCCGATTCAAATTAGTGTCATGTGCTTCAGGTCTCTTGCAACCTGGCTCGGAGACTTCTGTCGAGTCGGTCACAGTTGCTGAAACTTTTGGGAAAAGATTACAAGTTTGAAATTACTGTTGGACTAAACGGTCGAGTCTGGCTGAAAGGAGCCGTGCATAAAGAGGTTCGTGATTTTTCCAGATTTTTTAGTGCCCCGTTGTGCATAATCCTCTTGGCTTTTGCTGACAAGGATGACAAGTGGTTTTTAGATTATTACGATATACAACATTATCAAATGGTCAGAATATGTTTTGGAGAGCGACATACCAGGATATGTTGAGGATGAAATTCGCAAATCAAAAGGATTTCCCACGCTTGCTGCATCTTCAGAAGGAAATAGCATGGATACAAGTTGAAATAGCTCTCTTTTCACTGTATGCGGGTCTTGTTTCGTGATCTACTATTTATGGATATTCTTTTGAAGCTACCGAAGTTGAGGACCTATTAGGCGAGGCGCCCATCCCGGTCATCTGGCGCTCTCCAAATCTTACCCTAAGGTCGCTTCTATTTCCCTAGCAGTTCGTGCTAGGTGTGTCGAGCGCGGTGCCTTTGAAATAGTGCACACCCTGACGCTGGGGAAACCTACTGAAGTATCTTCTCCCGCTTCATATTTGGCCCCTTCCCCATTCTACCTACCATTTTGATGACTTCCCCAACTTCCCACCTTTTTTTTCCAAAATTTCCCAGGTTTTTTCTCCCGAAACTCTGCCGTTGAGCGGGGAGGGGGGTATAGCACGTGAAACAGGGAAAACCGAGAGCAGTCAGCAAGTGGAAAAATGGTAGTCTCCTCAAACCAGAGGTACGCTCTTTCTTTCTAAGTGACGGGCAGTTACGACCCACACCCCTACCGTGGCATGCATCTCGCAGATAGCCTGTGGAACCTGAAAACATCCACCCACCAAAAAGCGTTCCCTTTATTTTATGGCCCCGGAACAAAGCGACTCCCTCCTTCCAGTGACCGAATACGATCCCTCCGCTGGGGATTTCCCATTGTACGACGTGCATGCTCTGACAGGTGCCAAGTCTAGCAGTGTCCTCTCTCCTTCAGAAGCGATTCAGACGCTCGAAAAATCGTGACCGGGGTCTACAGCGATTGGAATGCCAACCTCTCTTTTGTGCAAGCGTTCTAACGGTGCAAATCCGGGAGAAACTAGAACTGAAGAGCTGTTGGAGAGCATTAGCCTGTTTGGAGCGTGGATGGGTGTGGTGGGGTAGCCTTAGTCACTGCGCTGCGTACTCCCAACCCTCCCCCACTTCAGCAGCTCTGCCTCTTCTTTCATTAAAGAGAGTGTGTGTTCTATGGATATTTATATTTACGTTCTCTACTGTGCGTTATGTACGAATGGTGTTCGGAAAACCACCTGATTACCCGTTTTCGTTGTTATCGTTTTCATTGAGCTCCTCTGCCGAGCTAGTTCACTGACAAGTCCTTGAGATGTTTTCGATCATTGTTGATTGTTACTGTTAATGAAATTTCCTTCCATTTCTTCTTCACTTCTGCCATCAGCGTATTTTTCGCTAGTTCTCTCTCGCTCTCTGAATATTCACGTGCAAAAGTTCTAAAAATCTTATCAGGGGAGTGGGATGGTATCGAGCAGCCTGGTAGAGCAGCGTCAAGCTGAGGATAAGGCTGCATGGGATGCTTACTGGCAACTTCGTGACCTTGATAGTCGTGGGACGATTTTCCCACGAATGAGATATTATGTCCATAAGGCTTTCGATGCTCCTGCTACTTGGTTTAGAGGTATGGAGAGCTCATTTTCCATCTAGAACTTTTCACTGAGAATGTTTCCTCGGGATTTTCTAATTACTGATATCGCTGTTCAAAAGCTTATTTTCAGAATCGATTGTTGAGCCTATCAATAATAGGAACCGTTTGCCATATTACCAGCGTAAGTTGACTCGTGTGCCGGAAATAGACGAGTGTGGAGTTAACGATAAGGTAAGCTAGACAAGTTTTTTACTCGGGTGTCCTGACTAGTTGCAGGCCCGGTCTGAGGGCTACACTCCTGATCGCTCAGAGGGGAGTGATATAAAATGGGATTGGATGGTGGTTACGGAGTACAGCATAGCTGAGAGAATTCCACCAGGGGGTCATACTTCGTCGCCAAGGGGAGGGCTCGTGCTTGTCTGCGAGAAAATTTTCCCGACCCACCAGAAAGTTTTTTCGGTTTGTTGACTTACTCATTTTTTCCCCGTTTCACGCTCGTTATATAATGCCTAGTTGCCGACCGGAGAATTACTATTGCTCTTGCCCTTTGCTGAAGGAAGTTTTGCGACTCACTCGAAGATACCCCCTTGATGCGATTCTCGCTGCTTCGTCGTACCTCCCATCTTACTGAACTTTCCCTACTTTCTATCTTTCCAGTTTCTCCTCAAGATCTGCTGTTGAGGGAAAGGCTGTCTAGACACTTTGCACTTAGAGAAGAAGTCTGAGAAGTTCAAACCTCTAGTTGGCGACTCTCAACTCCCACGGTACACATGCCTGACTGCAATGCCAACTCTGGTGGGCAGAATTGTGGTTGATCACAGCTACTGTTCCCGCGTAGCTGGAAGTTAGTGTTTGATGAAAGTGATGGTGAGACTGCCCTTCCGACCCCTTCTTCCCCCCCCACCCCACCTCCGGCTCGACGCGACGTTTTTCTGAGTGAAACGGGAAACTCATTTGGAAAACTGGGGGAAAAGCGGTGGGAAGTTGGTATGAATTGGGTAAGCCGGTAAATATATAGCTTACGGGAGGGTCATACCAGAGAAAGAATTTTGAGGGGGGAGGGCATTTCACTCATCGCGATGCTGTGCCATGGATGGGTAGGGAACGGGCGCGAGGGAAAGAAGACAATATCGGGACATGGATGCGTTTTTAGACAGTCACCTCATGGGAGGTCGCAAGTTCTACTATTTTCTTTCTTTTTGCTGCTTCACTCCATGCTATTTCAGAGGAAATACCTTATTAATCGACGCTCTCAAAGATTCATCTTCATGATATTTGATCCTATGAGTTGTTTGTATTTGTGCTTTTAGTTATTTTTGCTTTCTGCTCTATAACTTTGATCGCACTCCATTCCACCGGTGGCTATAACCCATCTGCCATCTGGCTTATATCCCCCACTTCCATTCGAAGCTCAATGAAAATGGTCTCGTCCTCATTCCGTCTTTAATCCCATTTGAGTGCTTTTTCGTAGTAATTTGTGCTGCATTAGCTCTTTTTTAGGCATGCTTCTTCGAGGCCAATGAGCAGTTTCGACTCGATAAAATGGTCGACGGCTTCATTCTTCCAAGTATGCTTAATGGAATTTTGATTGGGGAGCAAAGTTACTTTACACTGATTTTGTTTATTTTAGACCCTTCGTCAGCGTGCTGATCGCTGTATGAATTACCACAATCCGGATTTTTCTCAGTGCGCCCAAGGTCCGCCGTCTTTGCCTGAGCACCTATCCGGAAACTATGTAACCACATAGCCTATTGTTTTTTTATAGGTCATTGAGGATTTAGAAGAAAATGAGTTGAACTTCTTCATCAAGTATGGTGAACTGGGCTCGGAAGCTGATGTTCGCGATGCGTACATGAAGCAAAAACATCGACTCATCTGGGAACGGCGCCATCCGGAGATCATGGAAGAACGACAGAAAGCCCTGAGAGAACACAAGGTTACTTTCTTGGATCACCTTGCTTTTCCTTCTTTTCTATTGTTCAAAACTAGCCAAAAATTACCACGAATGCTGAGCTTATGGGAAAAGTCAAACCCCGAGTGGGATTCGAACCAGCATCTCGCTTCCGCTCAGTCGGGCGATGCTGTTCCCAAAAAAGAGTATTTCGCTATCGAGCCAACTCTTGCAACTAAGCTAAGCTCAATGGGCATTGTGTGTAATTACTTCAAAGCACTCACCGTAACGTTCAACGTGATGAGCCGTTAGCTGATATCGGAACGCAACCGCCCGGTAAGCGGAAGATGCGGATTCGAATCCCGCCCGTGGTCTGACTTTTGCGCGATTAACTGCATGCATTCCTGTGAGTAACTTTCGGGATCGCGCTGCGGCGTTAAAGAGCAGTTATCAACATGAAGCAAAAATTGTGTTTCGCCAATTTGTAGCCAATACTGGGGGGGGGGGGGGTATGTCACGTCGGCAACACCTAATTTGCCGCTATGTTGGCAAGACAATCCTATTCTTTTTTTTTTTTTTTTTTTTTTTTTTTTTTTTCCTTTTTTCGGCCTCGCATGTGGTTGCGGCGTCGTTCCTGTGGAAGGACAAGATACTAGAGAAGAGCTCCAATAACGATTGACCGAGATGAATTTACAGCGAAAATCGCATAAAAGTCTGTGATGTCGTTAAGTCTATGATAAGTCGATTGCTTCCAATCAACAGAACTCGCCCATTCTTGAAAAAAGCGCCGCATCCAACACCTCAGGATGCGCGAGGGACGGCGCGGCAAGTCACGATTGTCCCTGCTCGTCTCCAACAAATTCGCGATTAACTAGTGATCATCTAAGAATGGTACTCGCTAAATAACGGTAAGAAAAAGCATCGTATGACGTCTTAACATAGGGATCCTAAAACAGTAGCACTGTCTCTTTGTACCTGCTTTCCCAGACTTGGCTGCAACCGATACCCTGGCGGCCTGTAGTCTACCGCCTCTATCATTTTTTTCGTGTCATCGAGTGCTTAAATGGCATCTAGCTCCAGAAATAAATGAGAAGCCAAGAAGGAGGTAACTCAGTAACAAAGAAGAGCTACCAGAACTACGTGTACAAAAGTAGGATTGCGGTGGACAATGCACCGGCGGAATATGGGTCAGTGCTGTTGCAAACTTTAATGAATTTTAGCAGCGCCAGAACGCAAAAAGCCATGCGAGGGAAGCAGAACCATTCGTAAGCGAAAGCGCAGCCAGCGAAGGTCAAAACCCTGGACGACTTATGATATTCCACGACGCTGCAGAGAGCAGGCGTAATGGTTGAAGGTGTAAGCTAGATGTTGTGCACCTGGCCAACGAGTGCGGACGCGTCAAGGTGTCACTTGATCACAGAACTTGTCTTTGTATAAGTAAATGAGCAGACTTCTGCCATATAAAACACCTGCCCTACAGATGTAATGACTCGATACCATGGGATCGTAAAGGAACGGCGATGTCACTGAAGGTTTCGCTTGGGATCTGGCGCCATAGGTGAGCGTATATGTGCAGCTGAATATAGCGAACAGTAAAACTTTGCTTTCCCATGATTTTTCCCAGCATTTGCTTCTTACTTCCTGAATTACATAATGGCTTCGAATTTTCTAGAGTAGGCGAACTATAGATGGTGCAAATTTTACCTTCCTCCTTACCTTCCTTTACATTCGCGATTAGAAATGCAGTGAATTTTCAGGAAAAATTGGCAAATGGCGAATTCGATTACTCATTTTGGAAAGAAGGGTATGTTCTGGCAGGACAAGAAGAAGTACGAACCGCCATATGAGTTCTATTTGTCGAAATCCACCCTTGAAGGAGATAAACCTCTGTCTAAGGACTGGCAGTATTACAAAAAGGTATGTAATTTTTATAACTTGAAACTGAGATGTGAGAGTTAGCTTTCCTGGGCTAATTTTATTTTATCAGTCGTTGTTTACTGTTTTTTTTTCTTATTGATGTGAAAGGAATTCAAGAAAATGTCACATAAGACAACTCCAGCGCAGTTCGGTAGCGGGAACTTTTCGGGTTCGGGGCACTTAGAGCGCATTCGACTTGTCGCGATCGCGCGTCACGGATTGCGCGGATGCGAAGTCATGACGCGCTCTATAGGCGACGGGTGGGGGGGAGGGGGAAATTAATGTTATTAGTATTTTTTAAGAGGGCTCACACAGATCTCACACTTTATTACTTGATGGCTCACTTGACCATGGGGAAAGCAGCAAATTGCGGAAGTGCCTTTCCCACCCTCCCCCCCCCCTCCAACCCGTCGCCTAAGTGCGTCAAGCCCGATCCATTCATTCTTAGCCCAGCTTCCTCTCGTTCAAATGACTTAATTTCGTGTTTAGGTCGAGAAGATCCAGAGTTTGACAAAGAACAGGGAAAGAAGTCTTCATTTAGCCTTTTCTAGACATTATTTTGATAATCTCGTGAACGTGATTGTTTCGTTCACAATGAGATGCAGTGTAATTTCATAGTTTGAATAGGTGGTCGAATAAATTCACAGATTATCGTTTTGTGAGTTATATTCTTTTGGAGTGCACACATTTCGATAACCTTCATCGAAGAATAGACCTAGCGATGGCATTTGAAAGCTGAAAAGGGCATGCCCTGTTAAAATGGTCAGCTGTCTGGCTCAAATACTGATGACAAGATGGTAAATAACACAAAAGTTAGGAAAAAGAGCAGAGAACGCCCGCTCGAGGTCACTAATATGGACCCCATGCTGGGCTTGTACGTGCATATGGCTAGAGAGGCAGTCCGACGGGTTCTCGTTAGGTTAGAGCGCAGTTCTTCTTACTCATCCCTTACATCTCACGCATGTCGTATAAAAAGCGAGAGTTTTAGATAGACAACGCCTACAGGGTAGGCCGTCAAGATGAGCTTCGGTATTGCTGTGGCCAGTGAGCAGAGATGCGGTTCCTTCTGGAGTAGGCGGCGCTCTCCTCACGTATTTTTGATCCGCAGAACATCTTCCGTGCATGCAGGCAGAACTACCATGACCAAAGAAGGCGCCTGAACGTTCAGTTGAGCACGGGGCGTGCCCTTAATTGCGTGAATTTTCTGTATTTGTCTCTTCATCTTCTTGGCGTTCCGTGATCACTGCCACCTTGAGCATTGCGACTTTTTAAGCGTAATAAAGTGCCCTCACCGTAATCTGAAAGGTCCATTCCCATGGCTCATCGAATGTTTTCCACCTTTCAAGACCCTGGCAGCCGCAGTCCTTCACCTGTCTGCATACAGTCTCTCCTTAACAGACGAAAAGTTCTAGCACTTACTAAGCTCCGATTTGTGTAAGGAATTTGGTTTGGGATACGCGTTCTCATAATATCATCAAATGAGTGGCTCATACAGAAGTGGCTCATACCCCTGAAGAAATAAGGGAGAACTTATCCTCGGCGACGTTTGATTGTCCTATTGTTTAAGCTGGAAAGTCTTAAGGTTTACCAGTAAAAACAGAATTATTAGCTAAGCGCAGCTCGGCTTGGGAGGCAGGCATCGTTGCAGAATTTTATGTGTGAAACTTCCAACAGAGGCATACATTGAGAGAACTGTAAAATTCTTAAGCAAAGTGGCCCAAAACGCATTTCGCAGTTCCGGAAGGGTTTGCAGGCTCATCAAAACTGCTAGTGCTGCAAAACATGCAGTGCGACATGCTAGTTTACACGGGACATAGCGAAACGTGCGACGAGAAAGTGGCGAAATGCCCCTCGACAGCGAACAGGCGCATCGGGAATCAGGTTATGACTGCATTAGAAAATTGAATTAATACTCACAGTAGAAGATATCGCGACCGGATCATTGATGTAATAAGTGATTTGCTCGAATAGTCTATAGAGGTTAATGATCACCGGTGATATCTCCACGTTGCCATTTAGCGCTATTTGATGGCAGAGAAAAGTTGTATACTTTTTTTTCAATGGCTAACATTTTGATCACACTGAGGGATTGGTAGTCGGAGATGCATGATGTTATGAGATCAGCGCACTAAATAGGCCTCCCCATACCAGAATTATGAGCAGTTTGAAAAATGAATCCCTCCGCTTCACTGGTGTGGGCGCCAAAAACGAATGTCGCATTCGTTATCAGAGCGTCGCTAGCTAGCTCCGACAGAAATGTTTCATCATGTATTCTTTGACGTACTGGGATTGCATTTGTGGAAAAGCGCTGATAACACTTTTTACTTTTTACCTCGGATGCGTACCTTTTACCGTAAAAGGTCCGCTAAACCTACCGTGTACATCATAAATTCACTTGCAGAATGTTCTCTACCAGTTGTAGACATGTTGCCTTACAAACAAGGGCAGTATGTTGGGAAGATAAGGTGTGTTTAACACATCTGTTCACGATGTTTTTTTTATCAGTGCCAACTTAGTTGGGGGAAGGGGGCCACTCACCTACGCCTTCGTGTCCCTGCCTGAAAGAAAGGCTTAGGCTTTGTGGAGATCATGTCTTGTCTGTGGGACTATCCCCGACTCTGGTCGTCTGCCCTCTAAGCCTAAGCTCTTCTGTCGAAGGAACATAAAGACGCGGCCGAGTGGTCCTTTCTAACTGCGTTTGCGCCAGCGAGCATTTTTGTAGTCGATATGTTCAGGGAGTATTTCTACTATATTAATCATGAAGGGAATGTTGTTCCTTGACGACTCACGCTCCAAAAACTTCACGTCTGCCTACAAGGGTTTGTAAACCTATTTGAAATAATATTCGAGTTGAATCGGAACGAAAGGATGGTCCTTTGACCTTTTGCAGTTTTTATATGACAGTGAAGAGCAATATTGTAGCATTCTACGGTAGCGGAACGAAAGAATTGCAGTTGAGTACTTCCTAATATCCATGCGTTTTAAGATGTGGATTTTCTGAATTTCTTCTACAAACAATTGCGATTGAACGAGACGGATCGATATAGAGTGGGTTTCCTTTTATGTCACGTGACATTCTTATTTTGGCGATGTTTGACTTATGGGGGGGGGGGGGGTGGGCATTGCTGGCTTCTTGAGCAAGATCCTGGTGACGTCGGGACTTGAACTCTTCTGTCAAGAGTAAATAAAGTTCCTACTGAAGCGTAGCTTTACAGGGGTTTGGGTGTTCGCAGACCCCAGGAAGCATCGTTAGTGGCTGACGGGAACTAGCAATTGCCCAGTCCAAGCCGAACTATGCTCATACCTTTTGAGACTACGTAGTTTCGTTTGGTTAATGGAACTTGTTTGTTGAAGATGCTTAGTAGAGATTAGTTGCATCAGTTTTGATGTGAAATTATTCATCGGTCCGCGTTCATACTTTACGGCAAAGAGTTGCAAGATGCGCACCATAGGAAAGCGTATCCGTTCTGCGAACTGGGAGAAGAAGATGATCAGGGACGGCAAGAGTAGGGAGAAGGCGCCTTGAAGGAGTAGACGGCATTCGAATGACGCCTATCTCCTAAGTCTGCTGTCCCGCTGTTCTCCAGTGCCACAAAGTATGAACACGGTTGTATGCCCGCATTTGCGAGAGATGAGCGAAATCCTTTTCCAGGATTCCTTTCCGTATTTGAGTCGGTGTGGTAGGGAACATAACTTTCTCCGGTGTGATGACCGCCCCATAGTTTTTACTGAGATTCTGGAAAATGGAACAACAATGTTGCGTATCGGACAGTCTTCGCGAACGTACCCGTTTCAGGTGGGTTCTTGATGTAGAGTTGAAAAATGAAGCCACAAGATTTCTCGAAATTTGAATTCTGTCTCCTCTCTCGAGCGCTCGCAGTTTATCTCATCTATGTGACTAGTGAACAAAGAATTCCATTACAGAGGAAGATAATGGGCGTTCATGAATTTGTTTAATTAAACAGATTAATTATTTGGACAGATATTCAGGCCGACCACGTTGTCGATGCCGCGTAATGGTCGTGCTCTACACAAAGCTCGCCTTCGAAGAATACGGCCTCATCAAGTCAAAAACCGCCTGACAAATTGTTTCCCCTGTTTACCTTCGATGAACACGGTTATCCCTTGAAATTCCGTTGGAATGGAGAAGTAATTTGATTTTAACAATAGAAATAGCGCCAGAAAGTTGAGTACGGTAGTTTGCAATGCATATGTGAATAAGTCACTGATTTCCAATATTCGGGTTAGACCTAGGAAGTGCTGATAGTCGGAGTATTCTTGTGTACGTGCGGCTTATAAAAGCGAAGCATCCAGATTTACCTGACCGCTCTCTGTTAAATGCCTACGAATTTTCTTGATTGCTGAAGTCTTTATTTGATTTGCGTTATTTGCGGTTTTAGGTTCACAGTGGTTTTTCCAATTCATCGAGATAATAACTTGCAAATACTTGTTTATATTTGATCATGGTTTGACTCTCGCTGCTACGTAACTACAGCATGGTAGGCACTCAGATGATTTTCAGTCGTGTTCTCTGCGGATGCTGGGGCGTGTCAGGGGCTTGGTCTGAAGCGGCGTCAGCCCGTTCTCCATCAATTGTTCGAGCATGTAATTGACTGCAACTGTGTAAAAAGGGCGCGCCAAAGGGAAGCTCCACGCAGTCAAGAGGCTACCTCCATGAGCCGCATCCAATAGCGAACATGGTATGTCTGATGTTGACTGTACGTACAATGTATGCTTTCTCTTTTGTAGAATGAATACACCGGGGGCACCGCGAAAACCTCGACGATCACGGGAAAACGTTCCAGTCACGACCCAGGTAGTAATTGTTTGTTCTTATTTCTTCATGCTTTTTGTATCGTATGTGCTTGGATAGTACTGCGTGGTTATGGGCCAAATAATAGATTGGAACTGCCGTTTCGGGAATATTTAGTTTTGCTGTAAGTTTTGTCCGAGAGAAAAATACCGTGAAAGTTTGCCTTTTCCACGTATTCTGAGTACCTTTTCAACACAGTATCTTGGCAATGAGTTCTTCTCGCCCTATAAACGGGTGCTTCGTATACGTCTAGAAAGTATTGTAAAATGGTAGTATGATGGGGAAGTGGGTCATGCCGGAGGAGCAAATTTGGTGGGGAGAGTCGTATTTCAAAAAATTTCCCCAGCGGCAGGAAGTGCCCTGTTCTCTTATGAACGAACGCTACAAGTTTTTCAGGATGGTGAAGAAGAAAACATTGGAGAGCCGGTGAATGTCTTCTGTGTGGAACCTAGTGACCCAAATATCACGAAGCACGAAGAAGACTATTTCCGCGAAACATTTGCGGTGGGTTTGCCCGCAAATAACAAATTATGCTGCTCACAGACAGCATTTTTAGATTATTGTTAAGTAGCTGCTGAAATTCCCGACTTTCTAGATAATGAATGAGTATGGTGTCGGTGCTGTTTGGCTGTCTGAGGAGAAAGCTATGAAGGTGACGTCAAAAGATAGTAGTTTCTATTTCGTAGCGGCCGTTCCGGGGACGGGTATTTGAACATCTGAAGAAGCTCAAGGTCAAGTAAGTGAAGTCAACAGCATTCCTTTGTTGAAACATATTTTCTGGATGGATAAATGCTTTTGAAGCACTTGTATCGGATCCTCTGTTGGTGAGCTTTCGGCGATGACGCCGTCGTCAGACCTTCAAAATACAATACGTTAGTGACCTACAGTTACAACACTTATATTAACATTAGTATCAATACCTACCGGGCGG